CACACACATCACCGCGTTTAAAAAAATTAACATGCCGAATCGAAAAACTGTATCAACCGGCAGATACCAAAGGTATATTTAGAACAAAAGATATTGAGAATTAACCTCTATTTATAGACTAGTCATTTAGTTATTGTTTTGTAATATTAAGTATACATAAATCTTGTCGTTTTAGACATAGAAGTACCTACCTAATAAGATCTGTGGGTTTAATTACGGTAGATAGGGATGACATTCCTCATAGAAGTTCTCTTGGTAATCCCACACGATAACATAGTAAAACGGCATCTACGACAGTTTCGTTCATTTAAGCCCTTTGAGGCCATTGTATGGGAGCTAAGCAACCCACATGGAGTTACGGTTATTACCGTTAATTCAGCCAGGTAGAACCGTAACGAGAGTGGTCGTAAGATAATGAGCGACAGAGAAAGCACTTACTTCAGCCTAATTAACACAAACATAAGGCACACCCAACTTATCATACCTACTAATCTTGTTCCAAACCTCAAAAGTATTCATATTTCTTCACGGTTCCTCCAATCACAAACTTAAAGTTTTAATTATCACGCCTCATTTTTATACCGCTCTTTATTAACGAAAAGAACCGCAAATAGATCATAAAGTTTATCATCGAATCAAGAAAAATGCCAATTTAACCAAATTACCTACCTGGCAGAGTCGTTTGAGAGTCATTGAACTTGCAAATATGATATCAAAGGTATCGATCTCATCCAATTCCCACTCACGGCGAGATGTAATAGAACGCATTTTCGCTGAGAAATCAGCAATGTAAACTATTTGTGGTTAGTAAGCATGCAAACAGACTAACACAATCGCGAATACCACAGACGGCCGTGAATTTATAGCGTCTGATATAAATAAGCATCGTGCCTGATCCCGCAGATTTATATGCGTCGATTTTGGACTTTCTTCTTTGCGTATGGTTATTTAAATAAAATATGCACAGCTTTCAAAGATTTTTTGCGAAAAGATAGCATAAATATCCCAACCTACCCTACGGTTGACCAAATTCCTCCAACAACCGAGACGACCTTGCATTGTTAGCGCTCCAGACATTCATGAGAAATGAAACTGACTGTATTATCCAATTGTCAATGCATTTATTTTTGTATTTTAGTTGGGTGATCTTATGTCCAGATAGTAGGTAACTTATCAGCAAATACATAATTAGCTACGTAATTCATATTTTCATTTATGTTTCAAAGTACAACGATAAAGATTATCCGAAATGTCATGCCCCTTGAACAATCCTGATTATATTAAATTAATTCGCAGAAAGTTTTGTTTACAGGCGCGACGTTTTGTTCAGGCGATGAGAGTTACAGTTGTTCCACAAAAGTTTGTGATATTCATCGCCTAAAGGGACAGCAAATTTTGGAACAAATCTAATAAGGCAGTCCCTTTTGTTAAAGGGCAAAACAGTTATGAATTTTTATACATTTATGTAAGTAAGTACGTCCTTTGAGTTGGCAGAAGTTTTCCTTTCAAGTAAGAAGGGAACGAATGTGTGGTTTCAACCACTGAAGTCTTGCACAACATATTTGTTGTTATGGTTGGCTTAAATGCGTTAAGTTTTCTGCAGTACTCAACAAAAGTAATAGAAACAACTTCAGGAGTTCGAAACTTTGTGTGGAGCGTGTCACGTAATATTTAAAAAAACACGAATATGACGTTAACAGCTATGGGCAATTCAAGTTAGTTGATATCAAGTAGGTACTAGTTCCTAGTGCTTAACGATTTCCTTGTCTAAAACATCGAACAATAGATCGAACACGGAACGTAATCTTAAATGATATCGCAAGAAATTGTGCGTGTGCGCTGTGAGCCGCCAACCGCCGCGCTCTCGGCTCGCGAATCTCACCGCGCCAGGCTATAAAACTTGGGTTTGTAAAGTTTGCATACCTCCGCGTAGGCCATACCGGTCCACACCACGATCTTCCCGTTCCGAACTGGGTGACATTTAAAGTATCGAGCGACCCACCGGAAGAGGCATTAAGTTCACCACACCCTCGTGACATAACAAACGCCCGACAGCCGCCAGATTTGCGGTTGACTAAAGACGTAATTAACTGGCGCGCTCAAGGAATTTATTCGCAATCTATTTCGCGGGGCTCTGAATTAATTTCGATTGTAATTTGTGTGACATTAGCTTGGTCCTTATAATTTAAGTCATTAATTCCTGCTCGTTTTACAGGAGTAATAATTTAAGCTATGGAATAACGAGTTAAGTCTAGTAGTTACTGAATAGAATAAACCTTTACTCGCTTCAATTAATACTTGTTCTAAATAATTAATTGATTTGTTATTTATTTACCAAGTCTTTATGTACACCAATAAGTTACTATTATAGTAGAGTGGTTATAGTACAGCAGCATAACATAAAATAAATAATTGCTTAAAGCATCAAAGGAAAGCTCAGCGCAACTTGTGCAAGCTTACAATAAGTGTGAACTTAATAATTTCACGCTGGAAGCTCTTTGACGAAGCTGCCGCAGCGGCATTCTTGTAGCCTTAGTAGAGTTAATGGAATAATCTACCTACTTCAGACGAGGTCAGATGTCAATTATGCAGTTCAAGACAAACTTTATGACAGCATTTTTACAGCAGATTAAAGATAAAGTAAGTATAAATGTAGAGACTTTCAATTTAAAAATACTCCACATAATGGCTGCGGTAAAATAGTTAAAATTTTTATTTCTTCAACGTTAGCACCAAACTCAGAAACTTTAGGAAATATTTTACACAAAATAGGTCTAGCCTAGTTTGAACGATGTCGAAAACAAAGTTAAACATTTAACAGAAGTTCCATATCGTTTTAGAGGCGGTCGGGTCGTTGAATATTCATATCTTGCGAGTCAGTGATGTGTGTCGGAAGCGGCAATTTAGTCAAAACAAGTTGTGATTGCTCGCCAAATTGGTGTTTGTGGCCGTTTTCCGATGCCCGCTGCGGGCGCCTGACCCGCCCGAAAATACCTTCGTCAAAAGAATTACGAATTATGCGAATCGATTAGAACCGATTACGATTCTCATACGATTAATCCGTGACATATTGATAAAGCAATAAAAGGATAGTCTGTGGTATTTTTTAATTTGCGAAAACACGCGATGGTTACAAAATTAATTAATGTATGGTATTAATAATGGTAGGGCCCAAAAGATAAGGAGACATGTAAAGTGCCCCATAAGGGCTACCTTTTCTTTTTTTATTATTTACATTTTGACGTTCATAAGTGCCACTTGTGGTCTAAACTGAATAAATATTTTTGATTTTGATTTTAATTTGTATTTTATGTAATATCTATTCATTATGCTAGCAAGAATCGCAGAATTGCTAAAATCAAGTGGCAGTGGGCGGGGCACATAGCTCGTAGAGATGATGGCCGTTGGGGCAGGAAAGTTCTCGAGTGGCGACCACGGGCTGGAAGACGTAGCGTGGGCAGGCCTCCTACTAGGTGGACCGACGATCTGGTAAAGGTCGCGGGAAGAGCCTGGATGCGGGCAGCGCAGGACCGTTCATTGTGGAAAACCTTGGGGGAGGCCTTTGTCTAGCAGTGGACGTCATTTGGCTGAAACAACAACATGTTAGCAAGATAGGTCTCCATCGTACAAGAATAAGCCAAGAAATCCAACAAGTCACGAATATTGCAGATATGTAATTAGTTATCGAGGATATTTAATAAAGGTCCAATCAACTTCAGCCGGAGCCATTACAGTCCGTAACAAATCCTGATTTATTGAGGTATTTGGTCACTGGGAAAGTTAATAATTATTCATTCAAATTATTGGCTAAAGCTATTATTAGTCGAAGCGGTAAATATCGGAGTAATATGCATTTTAGCGTCGGTACTGCGCGCGCGCCGCGGGCGAGGATCAGGCGCGCATTCCGGCCAAACATAGTGAATCAGTCGCCATTTCTGATTTTCTGCATACACTCTCGGTTACTTTTCAGACACTTCTAAAAGGGATGTGAACTTCACTTTCACTCGCATAACTGATGCATGAAATGGGTACTGTTATCTTTGACTTCCCACGTCAATATATCATCTAGAAAAGTACCGAACTTTTGATTTATCTAAAAATTTACATATTGGTATCTTATCGGGCAAAATATCAGAGGTGCTAACGTGACTTCGTTCTATATTTAAACGTCTAAAGTTACAAAAATAAAGTGTAGCTCTAACGTGCTTGACGTTCTCCAGTGTCCGATTACCACAAACTTGAGAAGCCCGAGGCCTGTCGCTAATCTGACATCTTTGAAGCTTCATTAAAGCTCGGCTTCACTATGAGAGCACCCTAAGCGGTGTCAGTGTCATGTGACCCGCGTATTTCAAAGGCGAGTCGTGGTTTTGCCATTTTATTTGTTCAGCGAGTACCTTTGCTTACGTTCAGTTTATTGAACTGCAAGCGCATGAGTGCTCTCCCAAGAAATGCCGGCTCGACTAAGCAATCTTGTACTGAGTATTATTTCACCTTTAGGTAATGTAATTCTTCGTAAAATAAGATGATTTAATGTTTAAAAATAAAATTGTTAGCCTTGGTTTTTAATAGTTAATAATAAAGTAGGCACACAAAAGCTTTATTGCCGCACGTGAATACCACAAGGAGCTTTGTTCTGACATGAGTGGAGCTTTATATTGGGTACAAAAGTTCGTCTCCAAGCAGCCAAAACACGAACGGTCGTTAAAAAAAACCACTGACCCGAGCGACTCGAGGTATTCAGAAATCAATCAATGTAATAAACATTTTGTGTGCTATCAGAAATCCAATAAGTATCAAAATACAATAAAATTTTGTAACCGAACCGGTATTGAATAATAAAGTGAGGGGCATTTCATTCGAACTTTATATTATATCTAGAGTTTATTTACTTTGTACCTGTAAATAAACTCTAGATATTTGTACTTTACAAGTTCGGCCATTACGATCTCCAAATCTACAACAATACGAGGTAAAGTTTTAAAGAACAAAATAGTATTTACCCGTAGATCGGACGAGCCAGATGACGTCGAGGTGCTGCTGCTACTGGTGAGAGGTCCGTTCCGATACATTTCCAATTCAATTTAAGTCAACACAGTATCAGGAGTGAACTATGCAAATAGTGCTGTTCCAAACCGGACACAATTCACTGCACTATCCGCGGCACACGCGAGCTGAGCTTTCTTCAGTTAGCAGTCATTAGCGCACCACAGCCGTGTAACACATTGTTTCAAATGTAAGAGTCTGCCTTTCATTGTAATGCATGTTTTCGTCCATTACCCTTTTGTACAACACGGAACTGCTTTGAGCACAACACTGAAAGACCACACAAATGACAAATGACAAATTATGTAACTTTAACGTTTATTTACTAAACCATCCGCTTACTGGTATAACCTGTGCAGAGCACCTGTGCGTTAAGCAATGGCATACGTGACTCAAATAAGCGCCTTATCGATAAGTTGTGTGGCATAACACACCTTATCGGCCGCAATCGTCATTGCCACTAATATCGGAATCTAGTTTCGGTGTGATAAAAATCCTTTTCACCTTGAACATGGCTTGAATGCACGCTTAATCGAATGGCATTTCTTTTAAAGCTTATCGAATGCATATCTGTATGTAAATAATTAGCAAAGCACATTCTTATCATAAAAGTTGCAATTATCAGTATTATTAACATTAATCAAAACTACTTTCAGATTTTAATATTAAAATATAACATCGATATGCTGTCGGTCATTGAGAAGAGAAAATGGCAAATAACATGCAGCGGCCTTGACTGTCTCTCATCCGCGCCGTAAGGCTTCGATAAATCATTTGCATTTGACTGAAAATTATAATATGTTAAATAAAATGGCAAGCTACGCAGGTAGATAATACGAGTCATTTTAGGCAATAGGTGATATCTTTTAAGTCTTAGACATTGTATTGATAGTTTAATCCTTGCTCTACATTCGCTATGTACTTACAACTTTATTGAAGTGAGCGTCATGAAGCTTGAAAGCTTAAACTGAATGTTCGATTGTGATTTCACAACTACCGTCATAGGCCTATGTAACAGACCTAAATCCGTTGAACCATAAACAAGAGTAACCATTAAGAATAATCACCGCAGACGTTCAGCTAGCGCTCTCCTTATTCGGTCCCAAAGTTCTTAATAGTCCATTATGTCGGAATTTATAACATAATAACAACAGAATTTGCACAGATTTCGCGAGATCTTCAATGGTAGCCGTTAGCGTTATTTATAGGCTGCGGTGTGGATGGTTTTGTTTGGGTTCGGTCGGGGTGCGTTTGCGAAATGATGCGTGAATTCGCGTGCGCGTGGGCCAGTCGGCGCGCGCGGCGGCACTGAGGCGGCGGCGCGGGCGCAGCGCACGAGGGCGAGCGTTGCACCTGACTCGCCCGCGCCCGCGGCGCCGCCTCCAGCTTCCACATCCACTTCCAGGTACCAAGGAGATGCAATCCCGCCGCTCGCATGCCGGCACGCTCCAGCTCGCGTTACTTCTCGGTACTATCGGCGAAGTCGTCGCATAACTTCGGACTAATAGCGTTTAACCAGCTTAGCAAGATTATAGGAACAGAGCGAATGACTCACGTCAGTCGATTTAGTTTAATTAGCCAGTCAAATAACCCACGCACACTAGTAGCTTTTCATTGATAAGCGTTGATAATAAATAAGACCTAATTATCCTCCAATTTGCCTAATTACTAAAAATATTTGCTTTGGAATTACCGACATAAAATTAAGTAAGTAGGCTATTTATATTATATTTTAAATTTTCAAATATCAACAACATTTTGTGTATTTTATTTAACAGCTAATAAGATATTTTTGGCTCAAGTAAAGTCATTATGACGCGCGGCATCTTTGGACTTCAATCACAAAAACAGATTCCCAAAACGACCAGGGATTCCGGGTAGCCGTCAGGTCAATAAACAGAGGAGGGCAATTTGCATTCAGGAGCCGCGCGCATCCGCGGCTTCACTCGCAGCGACGACTCCTAAGTTCAACCGCACTTGCGAGTAAGCGATAGCGGGTGTGACAGCTTTTTTGATCATTTAATGACACTGAAAACTATATTATATTATGGAAATTGATCCTAAAGTTTAGCAGAACTAAACGCATAATGGAAAGTCTCAACTAGCGAATTTGTTAGAGCTTAATCATCTTTAAAGTGTGGCTAAATCACTAATGTAATCAGCAATAACTTCCAAGATTATCAAAAACGTACAACCAGTTATTGATGTTAATCAAGTTCATGATCATTCACCCTTTTCGCAGGTTATCTCGGGTCGTCGCAGCATGTTTTCCTCTTTTACAAAATACGGTACCTAGGTTTCAAAGGATTTTTGACTAATTTCGAAGTTCACCGTGGAATATTTTAAACATATTTCATTATTTGGGCTATTTGTATGAACTCACTGTGGCATGTTATGAAGTTGTAACAAGTGCTATTTTGCGACAAAATAGAGTCTTACATGCTGCTGTCGACCGTACTTTATAATGTTACAGTTCGTCGCGTGTAACTTCACAAACAGTGACTCTAAGGACACATCCGAAGCCAACTTTAAAAATGAATGCTCCAAAAGCTGGAATTCGAGGCCAGTCTCTTCAAAAAGTCAGTAACAATTTTACAACTTGGAAGGCCTCGCAGAGGAACGACCTTGGGAATATATCCAAGTCGTTTCGAGAAGTAGAGCTCCCCTTCTGCACTTTATATTCTGCATTAAAAATACACTGCACTCTAGCGAGTTTACGATAAGAGTTATCGATTTTCATCTTACCAAAAAAATATTTAACAGCTGTGTTGTACGTGTTAACGTGCATTTAAATTATTATAATACAGCTTCCTAAATTAGGCAATATCTCATCTGAACAAATTGATGAGGTGCTTGTAGCTTGATAGCGGCAACGCTTTAGTTGATTGACGAAATTAAGCAACCTACATCGCCATCTTCAATGGATGGGTGATCATTCAGACCATATTTGGCTATGGTAGAGCCATCGTAATCGAAGTCACATTTTCGTCTTTCTGAGAACGTCTCGCGGTTTGGACTGCAAACAATAGCAAGTTAGTAGCAGGTAAAATTGTGTCAAAATGACGGCTAAACCACTGCTGTCCTAAACCGGCATTTATACAAACGTTTCCGTGAATCGGGATTAAGACCGTTAAAACTTGGTCTCGGCAAGATTCATTTGATGTTATCACTAGTCGTTAAGCATAATCTTCGGACTTTAAGCACTTGACTGAAAGTTTGTCCACTTATCATATAAACCTCCATCAAATATTGAACCAAGATTGTTGGTCCCATGGCACCTTTGCCCTGCAGTGGGATAGTATTGTGTAAAAAGCTCACTTACTTATAATTTGCTACTGAGGCAATTTATTTCACAAGTTTTATAATTAATCTAGCTTTAGTTAGATTTACAGTAAGTCTCATAAATTTAGTTGTAATATAAAATAATCGGTTCCTGTACAAACAATTTCAAAACCGCTATATAACTTTCGCTTAAACTGCCAGAGGCATATTAAATATAACTAATTCCTATTCATTGATGACCCAGTTTGATGATTCAAAGCGAAACAAATATTCGCTTTTCATTTTCGCATCGAGTAATATTCGAATAAAAAAGTGAGGCACTAAATCGAGTGTTGAGCATGAATTATGAGCATCTCGAGTAAAACAGCGGTAATAAATCCTATGTTCAGTACCTCTAGTAGGAAAAACTTTCGAGTTCGTTTCGTTGCGTATTCAAAGTGTCATCGAAAAATTTTGTATGAAAAATTAAACAGCGCCCCCTAGGGCGGCTATAATATAGGGGGCGCTGTTTAATTTTTCATACAAAATTTTTCGATGACACTTTGAATACGCAACGAAACGAACTCGAAAGTTTTTCCTACTAGAGGTACTGCTACTAAGATACTATTTCGCAAATCCGTGTCATTCGAGGGCAATGAATTCGTCAATGTTTAATACTAGGAGAATAAAGTAAGGCATTTCAGTATTTTTCCCTTTCGATTTTTAGTACTTACTTATTGTGTCTTTTGAAAACGCTTATTTAGTGTAAGAACGAAGCTTATTTTTGGCCGTAAAACTAAGATAAGCAAGCACGAGTGGCTGTATGACCGAATAAATGCATAATTTGATCGCATGTTTCAAAGGATAAACATAAAAGTTTACATCAAATGACTAAAGCTGAGTTGCACCACCTGACCGTACTTATAACGATAACCGGTGCTTTTTGTATGGAGTTTGACAGACTTTTGACGTTTGTTAAAGTCAAAGTAAGATGGTGTAACCCAGCCTAAGTGAAGTACCCACTCCAACTTGATAGTCTAGACTTCTTGTTTACCTAGCTATGTTGTTTGAACAAGTGTCAGATGTGACGTCACAGATCGGAACATTGACTCCGTGTAACGGAGCTCTACAATCTACATAATAACACCCTTCACTGTTTACTTTTTATCCATCGTTTGTGAAATATTGCCTGCGACGGGTTTGTCGCAAACTGGTTATTGTTATTTTTTGCCTGTCTTATATTTGCTTGGGACTCAAAACTTTAGCAATAATTAATAAACTTCATCTTACAGTATATGGCACCACTTTGTACCTCTCGAAAGCCACTGAGCAGATGTACATTTTATTTAAGCTTTTCGTAGAATATTTATTAGTGAAACTTTTAACTTAAAAGCTTCTATTGGTAGAATTAAAAAAAAATACTTCAGTTAAACTGCTGCTCTGTCTCATTTGTTCCAGAAGACGTTGGTTGAAACATTTAGCTAAATAACTCACTTAGAATAAACAACAAGCTTGTAAGTAAGTCCGCCAGACAAACTTAATTTAAGACCTAGAGGTGTCGCTATAAAAGAAGACCGCAGGCGAAGACCGGTATAATTAAACCAAACTTTACATTTGTTCGAGGGGCTTGAGTTTTAATTGAATAATCCTCTCCGTAGTAATTCCAAAAGACAATTCTAACTTTGGGACTTTATCTTTTATAGACTCTTGTAATTCGATGTCGATATATCGACTGTTAAGAATATTCTTAACAGTCTTTTTAAATTGCAATTGCGGACCATCAATCAATCACTGTCTAGTTCCAATATTGAGTACCCACTTAGAAGGCGGAGGATTTTTTGACATAAATAGTGACGCAAAAAAAAATCCGGAAAATCTTCAGTTTTCCTACATTGTTTAATTATTTTTTCCTTTGGTGAAACTTGATTTTGAAAGATATGAAATTACATGTTTTCAGTTGTCCATTGAACAATGAATTTCCCGATCTTGATCTGTATTAATGTGATTTTTCATCATTTTTGTGAAAAAGATATCGTATTCGTGAAAATTAATTGATTTCACTGTTTCGCCAACCTTGTTCCTTTGATTGTTCGTTCATATAATAACAATCAAAAGTGTTCATATAGGTAATGCATACCTATTATGTGAACATTGTGAATTGTGCCTACAATTAATTAATGCTCATAGAATATGCATACCAAACTAAACGCCGGTCCGTATTATTCACGCCGAGTGAGCCGAGGCTAACGTGGCAGGGAGAGGCGTGAACGCCGACATCGGGAATTCAATAAAATTTTGCGGCCGCATGCAACCTAGAACGGACCTGTGAAAATTGGTTCCAGCATATTGGCGTTGTACCAGTATTTGTGCTTTAGCGAAGAAAGTATCAAAGTTTTAAGTGGATAACTGCAACCTCATTATGTAAAGCACATAGAAGTACCAACTGATATATTGTAATAAAACCGAGATTAAGATTGATCTAAGTAAAATTTTAAATAAAAACTTAAGCTACCTTATTCAAATTGTATTTCTAGGACCGGTAAAAAATTCATAATTTTAAAATTACTTTACGAGTAAACTGACGGCTATAATAACACTTCTGTTGTGTTCCTGGTGGCGGTATATAATATCAAAGATACCTTAGTAGTAAAGTTATAATATCTACTCGCATAAAAATACTTCGTTAGTCCGTAGGAACATCCCCGATGGTCTTTAGGTAGAAGCCTGCAGTCGTAAAGAAGGTTGGAAATGAAACCTTCGTATAGAATTCATTAAGGTGAAGCTCCCTCTTCCATTATAATTTATAAGACCTCCACTTAATGTAAAGTGGGTAATAACTGAAATCTGGGTAAGCAAACAAATTGAACTTTTTTAAACTTTGCACTTTCCCCAAGAAGGTATATCCATGAAACATCCTTTTTGTGCTGCTATTATTTTATTCTAAAAGCAAACTGAAGCTTTTAGCTCTTTTATACTATATTATCACACACTCCAGGAATAACTTTTTGAAACTGTTCCTCTAGCATTAGTGTAGCCCTAAAAGTTTAATTTC